TGTTCCCGTGGAAGAGGGACTTGATTGTGTTGTGATGGAATCGGGTAGCCTTATGGCAGTGTTAAACGATACAATGGAGGCATTAGATTGTACTATGGTGGTGTCAGATAGTACAGTGGAGGAGCAGGGTTGTATCGGGGTGGCTCTGGATCTTACCGCTGCAAGAGCGGCTCAAATTGTGGTTGCGTGGGAGGGTCAGACAGCTCCTTCCTTTCCTCCCGGGCCTGCTGGGCAGAGATGAGTCTCTCCAACATCTTAAAAAATTGGTTAACATCCTCTCGAAGTGAGCCATCTCGGGCTGCTCAGTTTAGTGGGGGTTCTTCCTCTCCTCATTTTCTTGTACTTGCATTTCAAAAAGAATGGTTTAGTGATAGTTTGTATTTGGTGTTTTTAAGTCTTTGTGTAAGGAATGGTTCCGAGAAACGCGGCTCTAATACCAATTGTAAAGGTCCAAAACGTTAAGGAAAATGAATTCATAAAATTAAATGTGGAAGTGATTAATAGAGTTAGGATTTACATTCATTATACAATAATTTAGATACTCAATAGAGCTACGACAATATCCCTTCTAAAAGCCAAACGGTAATTAAAGAAATGGAAAGAAGAGCGAATACAAAAGTGCCCTATGACAACCTTCACTAGCACTTGAAGGGAATCCGAGTAGTGAACTACTCACAACCCTCTTGCTGATCGGGATCTGGATCTAAGTCCTCTTGATCTGAAATGGTTAATAAAAAGGTGAGCTACACTAACCCAGTAAAAATATCATACTAATCATAGATACGAAAAACTAAAGATTGATAAAAATCAGAAAAATAACTAATGGAGCTCTTGCTTTATTTAAATACCTTTAAACTTAAAAATATTTTTTTGATACTTACTATAACGAGTTTTCCCAAAATAACCTATGAACACCTATATCCATACCACTTTACTTTTTTACTTACTTACTGGTACTCTTGTAGTTTATAGAGATGTCCTCCCTACTCGTGAACTCAATATCTAATTTTACGATTAATTGGTCGTCCCTATATCCCGTATGGTAATGGGTACGAAATATTCCATCACCTCGATACCTCGTCCGGTATGAGGATGAACCATATCTTCTAAACCTTTTTGGTAAGGGACTTTCCAATCCTGTCCGACTGAGGTAACATTCATGGTAGGGTTTCCTATGTACCAGGCTTGTCTGTCCTTTCTTTAGGTACCTAGCAAGTCTTTCACATATAAATTTCCATCAACAACCAACAAACGCATACCAATATCTCATATTACATTTACAGATCAATTAAACTACATTCATGCCGATGATATATAACCAAAATAACCATATAAATTGATAAGACCATTGAAACTATATATTAAGAACATGTACTATACGAAAATCAAGTAAGTAGAACAGTATAAAAAATCAAGATAATTGTGAACTAACTGGTTCCCACTCCACTAGTAATCTGTAATTATTTTTAGGATTTTTAATTTTTCATAAAAATATAAAATTATACATCTTTAAGCCTCAATTTACCGTAACAGAGAATAGGGTGAGAAATCTTTATTTGGATCGGTGTTTTGAGACGTCACGTTATCTACCACGCCTTCTAACGGGTACTGGGTTCCCTGAATTTTTTTTACAAAATTCAAAACACTCGTCACATACTTAAAAAATCTAAAATCAGTGTTCAAAACTCTTTCTGACCAATTTTGGGGTTCTGGCACGAAGGTGGTTCGCCTCGGTCAGGCCAGTTTTGGCCGACTTTACACGTATCTCTGTGTAAAAATACGTTAGGGGGCCTTAGTCGACCGAAAAATACCAAAAACACCTAACTTACCAGTGGGGGGTCATCGAGTGCGGCGAATCTGCTGGTCCTCTTTCGCGGCTGGGGTTCATTCTTTGGTTAACTTGCATAGAAAAAGACGGTGAACACAATAATCAAAAAATTGCATGAAACAGGAATTGAAAAAGGGCTTATTAGAGGAATTTTGTGGTTTTGGCCGTGGCAGCTCCCTTGGGGTTTACCCACAGTTTCTGGCTCACCTGCCGTCCCTCTTGCTCCGATTTGATTATAGGGGTGCTCGGAATCAAATTCTAAGCAGGTAGGGAGAATTTTTAATTTTTTTGGCGGTCGGTGGTGGCTCCAATGTGGCGGCGGTCAGCGGTTGACGGTCAGCCTCCTTCTCTAGTGTCTGGTTCTTCTTCTCCGGTGGGGGCTGGCAGCTAGGGTTTGGGTTCTCGTGTGACGCGAAGTATTTATACCCATCCCGCATCGATCTGGACCGTTCATCGCGATTGATCTCGTCCGTCCGATCGTGCCTGAAGAGAAAATGAATCTGAATAGTTCATCCGATTGATTTCAGCCGTCCGATCGTACCTAAGGAGAAAACGAATTCGGGCCATCCATACACGCGGGATCGATCCTAAGCCATCCAATTGCAGGGCATGCGAATTGCCCGCGTGGCACCAACATCAGTGTGCCTTGCCACGCGGCATGCTCTAGTTTGTCGGGACTACTGAGTAGGCGGTCCTACGTGGTCAAACTTTCTCTTTTTGCACTTTAACCCCCTATTTCTAATTTTTTTAAAAAAAATACCCCTGAAACTCAAATTTTCACTCCTTTATTATAAAATTGGTTTCAATTACATCCTTAACATATTTTTTTTCAATTATTTAATAAAATTAAGTTAAATTGATTTAAAAATAATTTTTATTTATTTTTTTATAACAAAATTTGATCTCGGACCAAATTCTGGACCTGGTTATTATATATTAAATGTTATAATTATTCTAATTAAAATTTTTTATTCATATAATTTACTTATAAGCTATAAAACTTGTAGAAATAATAATAAAAGAAAAAATCAAGTAAATTAAATGGGGCTGGAACTATAAAAAAACCTTCACCTTATAAGCTATGAAATTGGATTTTTAATTAAAGGAACATAATTCAGTATGCATAAATGTATTGTTGGAGATTATATCATCAAAATCATTTTAAATTTGGCATGTAATAAAAAATTATTATAAATTCTCAAAAATTTTATAATTTCTCATTTAGTTTTTGGTATTGAAATTACATTATTCTATCAATATATTATTACTAATTATTTGTATCTGAAATGTATTATTAGAGAGAAGTAAAGCTGAGTGATTAAAAGTGAAAGTTGCATAAGATGCAATTTATTATACTTATTATTATTATTATTATTATTATTATTATTTGCTTTAAGTTTATTTGTGGGTAATATGATGAATATTCATTTATAATATATACAACATTAGTCATGGCATTTTGCCATTTCCATTTACATTTCCTTTGCATGAGCTTTTATCCATCCGTTTGTTATGCTTAAATCAAGAAGCACAACATTCTTCCTTGTACATTCCTCAAAGGTCATTTCCCTCCCTATATATAAATGGAGTGAATTCAATTACGAAGACACTATATATGCAAATTTCGATTTTATAAAATGGAGAACATCTTAAATCAAGCAATTCTTACGGAAATATTTATATTAATTACAGATTTCAAGCTTCTAATCGTTATTACTCTTCTTGCAGTTATAGCATATTCTTTTACTAAATCTAGACCCATTTATCTCGTTGATTTTGTGTGTTACAGGGGATCAGATAGCAGTCGAGTTCCGATCTCTTCCTTCATAGAACATCTAGAAAGGTGGGGGCATTATAATAAAGAGACTCTTGAGTTTCAAACTAAAGTCATGGAAAGATCAGGTATTGGAAATAAGACATACTTGCCCCTTGGTTTTCACGTCATCCCTCCCAATCATACATTGAACTCTACGATGGAAGAATTTGAAATGGTTTTATTTGTAATAGTTCAGAATCTCTTTACAAAGCACAATATAAACCCAAAAGATATTGATATACTAATCACAAATTGTGGTCTTGTTTGTCCGGTTCCTTCTTTGTCTGCATTGGTCATAAATAAATTCAAATTCCGCAGCAACATAAAGAGTTATAACCTATCTGGAATGGGATGTAGTGCTAGTATACTATCCATGTCCCTAGCGAAAGAGCTTCTCAAACTCCAAAAGCACTCTTTAGCTTTAATCCTCAGCATGGAATCCGTAAGCTCTAGTGGCTACAAGGGAAAAATCAAATCAATGCTCCTTGCGAACTGCTTATTTAGAATGGGAGGTGCTGCTATTTTGTTATCAAATAGAAAACAAGACAAACAAATGGCTAAATATGAGCTACAACATCTCGTTAGGACTCATCTTGGTGCTAAGGATAGTTCCTACAAATGTGTGTTTCAAGAATCTGACTATGAAGGATATATAGGAATATCCCTCTCAAGGTCAATCCTCCATGTTGCAGGGGAAGCATTAACGACAAACTTGACAACATTAGCAACCCTTGTGTTGCCTTATTCAGAGCTTATTAAGTATGGCTTATTAGTTGTTTGGAAGAAAATTTGGCCAAGCACAAAAAAAAAAGGACCTTATGTACCAAATTTTAAAAAAGCCTTTGACCATTTTTGTATCCATGCAGGTGGAAAATCAGTGATAGATGGTATTAAAGAACATCTAAAGCTAAGAGATAGGGATATTGAGGCATCAAAGATGACATTACATAGATTTGGAAACACTTCTTCTTCATCTATTTGGTATTCACTTAGTTACCTGGAGGCAAAAAATAGAGTTAATAAAGGTGATAAGGTTTGGCAATTGGCATTTGGTAGTGGATTTAAGTGTAATAGCATTGTGTGGAAATGTGTAACTAAAAAATCGAAACTAGATAGTTATAATGTTTGGTATGATGATATTGATAAATATCCTATAAACGTGCCTGATGTAATAGATCATTAAAATGTAATTTGATATTTGGATCTATTCAATAAAATAATAAAGTTATAATGTTAAAAAAAAGAGTAAAATAGTTTGTTAGTATATTTCTATGTTTGATAGCTTACTTATAACTTTGCAATCATTTTTTGCGCTTGATTGATTGAGAGTTATGCGTTTTACTTTTTGATTGATGGCAAAAGTGAGAAAAAAAATAGTGTAGGGCATGTGTCAAGATAAGATTATTGTTTTGTATGTTGATCAAATTAAATTATAGCAAAATCAAATTAATGCACACACTAGTCTTGATATATATATATATATATATAATAAAAAATAGGAAGCATATACTAAGGAAGAGATATTTTGATTTCCTATGTTTTAGAGCTTCAAGGAAATACCAATTAAGTTTTTATCATTCATAAAAAAGGGAATGATATATTGTTGACCTATATTGATTTTGATATTCTATGAAAATGGTTTGATTTTAATATATTTGTAGTTATTTCTTTTATGTTAATCTTATTTTCTATTATAAATTATGATTTCTACTTATTTAATATATTTATATGTTAAATATCTAGATATAGTTATTATAGGAACAACATACGGCTTATGTTTATAAATATAAATTATAGAGTTAAATAACTTATTCCATATGTACATACAACTGTGTGTGTATATATATATATATATATATATATATATATATCAATTTACAAAGTGATAAATTCAAAATGGTACCCCAAAATTTATAAATATTGGTCTGAACCGCTTCAAAAGCCACACAAAATCAAGATGCTTAAGAATTTAGTACTTTGTAACAAACACCTTAAAATTTTTATTAGAAAATAAAAACCCTAAACAGCTCTCATAGAAAATCCTAAGATGGCTTTATTTTAAATCCAAACCAAGATACATACTTTGACACTTTATAACCATTGGATTGGATAGAAATAAGTTCTTACCATCAATTAAACGGTGGGGATTTAATTTAATTAAGCAGCAATATAACAAGTTGAAGATAGCATTGTTTAACCCTTTAAAGGTACGTGTACATATATATATTTATATATATATATATGATATATGCATACTGTTGACGCTTTATAACTATTGGATTGGATAGAAATAGGCTTTCTGATAAACATCTGTATAATAAGTTGAAGATAGCATTGTTTAATCCTATAAGGGTACGTGTTTGTACATAAATATACATGTATATGTGTGGGTGTCTATATATGATATATGCATACCGTTGTAAGAAAGTCAAAACAGATGAATCAACGGTGAAGGAAAAAGTCAGACAATCACCAACAATTACGGGTGATTAACAACCAGAACCAACCATTACAAAAACAAATTGATAACATAAAATATAATTCCCACAGGAAAACCATTTAACACCAAACCCAGAAAAGGGAGAGGAGAAGGAGAGAGTGCAGAAAAGCAGTCTCTCTTTTTTGGATCTCTCAAATACATTACTACTAATATATATATATATACACACACACACATATATCTACTACAATTACGTATAGTATAGTTATATATATATATATATATATATATATATGCGTGTGTGTGTGTGTGTACCTATTAATTATCTAGCTTGATTATCTTCTTCATCGTTTGCCATAGAATTCATTCTTGTATATTTGATGGTCAGATTTTTTTTCGGGTGGTTCCATTAAAACATCATGAATCGACTTCGAGCATTTTCAACTCCTGAATTGCCTTCAACAAGCGGCAATAATACCACTTACAGGGAACACAAACCTGTTGAAGATGCCAGTTTGGAAGGTACAAATATATTTACAT